ACAAATGGGCATACTCTCTTGTTTTATTTTTTCCGTGTACATTTTTCAACAATTTTGTCAATGGTCAAGCATCATGAAGCAAAAGTACAGTCATCACTCTATTAAATGCTAACTCAGCGTTTACTTTTTTTTTAATACAAGCGCTAAACTCTGCCTAGTTATGATAAGCAAAAAGGTTTAAACATATTTTAAAAGGCTGTAATTAGGCAATTGGGCAATTTTTATGATTTTAGATAAATATTTTGTATAGAATTTTCAACAATTTTTGTTTTTTTTTTCAATATTTGAGGTTTATTTAAAATAGCTGTAACTTTGCAATTGTTTTAAAAATTTTACAGTTATGTTCATTTATTAATTTTTTGTTTGTTTGGCAAACAAGTTTATTGTTTTTTTTTTCTGTTTTTTTATGCCGCACAAAATGCCAGCAGAGCGAAGCGTGCAGCTTGGCTGAGTCGACGTCTTCCACTTTGGTTCCCGAACTAGAAGTCGCCCCTTTGGCTTGGTTACCGGATTGCCATTTGGCCATTTGGCTGCGTTTTGGCCGCGTTGCATGCGCGTGTTCTAATGCGAAATTAATTCAGCATGTTTTTAATTCGGTTTTTTATTTTCTTCTTTTTTTCTGTAAGTTTTGTTGGTGGTTGGCAAATTAAAATCTACAGAAATACAGAAAGAAACACAAAATAAAAAAAAAAAACAAACAGAAACACAAAATTCTAAAGCTAATTTTACTACTAGTTAGTTAGTCGCAGCTGCTGCTTGGTTGCGCTGCAGCTAACTGGTTTTTGCTTAACCGAATATGGCATTTTTTTTAGGTTTATGTCTTGCTATGCGCTCGATTGTCGTTAATGAACGAAGGTCAGTTTTGTGCCGGCTCACTTTTGGCTTAAAGCTCTATGGTTTAAAAAATAAAACATATTTTACGGATTTTGTATGTCTTTTAATAGAGAAAAAAATTAGAAAAAGTAAAGAATAAATATAAGATCTTTAAAAACTTATTTTTTAACTGACTGTTAAGTTGATTGTGAACCAGTTCGGCAAGCTAATCAAAACGGTTTTAAATGTGAACTAGCTATGAACCCTTTATGATATTTGCTTTTAAATTCGTTTCAAAAACCTTTTATTCCGGTTTTTGCGGGACTTTTGCACTTGCTTAAAGTGCATTTGTTTAAAAATCTAGGCTTTATTTACCGTTTGAAAAGTGACTCAAAAATGGCACCAAATATGTGGAAAAGGAATACCCTTAACATTTCATCAAGCTTCTTTTAGTTGGTAATTTATACATGGATCAATATAAATTGTGAAATCTGTTTAGAAAGCTTGGCAAATTTAATTGGAACATTGAATTTAATATTTGAATACTATGTTTTTTTATTATCATATCAATTTTACTGATTTTATAGAGCATTTTAATCCCAATTAAATTAATTTTGTACTTAAATCTGAACAGTGTAAATTAACGTTCAATTCCTCACAAAGCATGCAACAACACATAGCCCTCTGCTGATCTGTTTAAAAACAAAGTAACGATCCGCGCACCCCACCGCCGTCCCCTTGAGATATGGATATGGGCAAGCTGAAAGCTCAGCGAACCGCCCATTTCTGTGGCGCGCCTCATGTGAAATGCAAACAGGCAATTAAATGGCGTTGCAAAAGGCGCAAAAGCTTGCAATGTGCCACAGTTGCAGTTGCAGTTCCAGTTGCAGTTGCAGTTGTTGTTGCACTTGCCCAGACCAAGGCGGGCGCTCCGCATCTGTGTATCTCTGTGTGTGTCTGTTTGTCTGTGTATGAGTGTGTGCGGTGCTGCGCATGCGTCCAGTTTTTACAGTTTTATTAACTGCATTTTTATCTAGCTGCAACCAAACAACTTGCAGCAAACTGCACGAACTGGCTCTGAAACTCGGCGCATTGAGCGGAAAAAAACATTGCCCAGGTTGTTGTTGTTGTTGTGGTTGTTGAGGTTGCTGTTCGTATCGCACGAAATACCCTTTTGGCCAAGAATTTGCTGGCTAAAGGTACTGTTCACGAGCAGAAGGAGGAAGCTGTTGTGCGGCCTCAATGCCGCCTTGTTGCCGCTTAGTTGCCGCACTTGCCGCACAAACCAGTTGAGCGCCAAGCGACGTCGATGTCGACGTCGACGTCGACGTTTCTAACTGTTCACGACGTCGCGGCGGCCAGTTGGGGCAAGTGCAACTGCAATGGCCAGCCCGTTGCTGCATCTCTTGGCTTATTACTTATAGAATTTATTTGGCCAACAACAAGCCAGGCAGCGGCAAACACGACCGACTTGTAGCAAAAGAAAAAAACTAATAAGAAAAATATATAAAATAATGATAACTGCTGAATCGTAAAAAAGGTTGTGCATTTTTTATAACTACTGGCATTTGGCAATGCCCAGGAGCCAGCCAGCAGCAGCAGCAGCAGCGGAAATTGTTTGTCCTACAAAAATTAGAAGCAGAAAAAAAAAGACTATATACATATATAAAGAACAGAAAACAGGAGGCAGTCGACGGCTGCTGTTTGTTATTTGTTCCCATTGCCGTGTTCTTGGCCGTGGTAATAGAGATAGCTGCGCGACGGCACGGGCTGTTTTCCTTATAGGGGCAATCAGCCATCATCGACAACTTGGCTCTAATTCAGGTTGCAGCCAGTAGCTGCCACTGCCGCTGCAGTTGCCGCTGCAGTTGCAGTTGCAGTTGCAGTTACCGTTGCAATTGCATATTTACCAAGGAATGTCAACTATTTCCTTTTAATAATTTGCCTCAACAGACAGGTTTCTTGTTTTTTTTTCTTTTTGTATCTTTTACGCTGAACCCATTGAAAATGGGTAAACAGGGTGTAATGGGCTTGTGCAGAGGTATGTTACAGGCCCAATACGGCATCTACGATCCCATATATTATATAGTTCTTGATCAGCATAAGCAGCCGAGCCGATCTAGTCTGTCCATCTATATAAAATCGTTATCGAAAGCTAAATAATATTAAAAGTTTCACAATAGCGATAAATATCGATTTCGATACGTGTTCTTTTAAGCATAGCTCGATATTTATAAAAGCTAGATGCACCAAATTTGGTATTTAGATGTTCGATTAAAAACAGTTCACTTTTTTGATAGCTTATAAGATTATAAAATAAATTTTTTTAGAGGGAGCCCCTTGTGTTAGGTTATTATACAGACAGTTGGATAGCATATATAAGTCTCGGAAATGTTATAAATATCGGTTTATAAATACCAGAGTCAATCAAGAACGCATTGCCCATACAGAGCGTGGGGTGTATTGTACCTGTGTGTGCGTGTACATGTGTGTTTATATGTGTTTTAAGGCATGTATGTATAAAAGAAAATTCCAATTATTTTTATATTGTCAGCTGAGTGCAGGGTTTATCCTAGTCAGCCAATCGTACCCTGTTTTCGTTAGTTTTGAGCTTTTTGATTGATGCAAGAAACAATAAAGTTTCGCCACATCGGCAATTAATTAATTAAGCAAGCAGCTGCTTAGCCACAGCCTGTTGCATACACACACACACACAAACACATGTGTATATATACACATATGAAGAGGCTGAAGTGTTAAGGTGGCAAAGAGCTGCTTGGCTCAAATCCGCGCTACCGTAACATTTAAGAGTCAATATTGAAACGTGTTGCAGTGGCAAACAAACAGCCAGCGGAGTGCCGCACTTGGCTAGCACACACACACACGCACACGCAGAGACACACACAAACTCACTCCCGCCCACTCATAAGCTCCTCGGGACCTTTGCAAACCTTGGTAGTTGACTTTTGGCACCGTGTGCTTGTTTTTTTTTGGCTAGCTGCAATTGTTTTCACAGTTTCTGGAATTTCACACGCCAATTTGTGACGTCTTTTTTATCTGATTATGCTTATGAGCAGAATGCTTGATAAATATATTAACATTTTGGCATACAGCTGGGGGATTTTTGTATTATTAAGGTCAGAGCTACAGCTCTTCGTATTTTATTGTTCAGTTGCCAAAGCGTACTACTCGCAACTCGATTAAACTTGTTTATGCAGAAACATAAAATAAATATAGTATTTAATATTTAGACAATTTATATGTAAATTTATCTAATACACCATTTAACTCGATCGAAAAATGAGAAACAATCCGTGAATATATCAATTTATAATTCACTTGAACCAAGGCTCCAAGTCCTAACAAATATGTTGGGTGGTTTTCTAATATTTGGAAATTTATATGGAAATTTGAATAAAAACATAATATAATAATAATTTATGAGTATTTAAATACAACAATAGAGAAGAGTAAAAATATATTAGTTGAATATAATTAGTAGAAATATAATAATTAATTAGAAAAAAAATACAAAACATATCAAAATATATTACATATGTCTCTATAGTTGTCATTCGTGTTGATTTGAACTACGTGCATTTATTTCAATTAAAAATATTAGTAAATTATTTAAATTAACAATTATAACAATTTTAATTTAATACATATTCCTCCGATATATTTTGGTGCCGTCTCGGCAACCGTCTGCAGGGCAGGTGTTTTCCACCTCCTCGAGCCTTAATAAATATTTAACTTAAATTTAATTTGTTAATCTTTATATTTTCATTGACCGAAAGCAACTAATTTTTCATATTCACACATTATTGGAAAACAACAAAAATGTTCTCAAATATTTAAAAATTATTAATTATTCCAAAAATATGTTTCGTTTCCGGCTGAAAGTTTGATTTATTCAAAGTTTTAGAATTCCGTGCTCAAATCCAATTTGCGACTTTGCTTCGACAATATGCTTCGTCTTTGCTAAGACAATAAAATATGCTAAAAATAAATCGAAGTCGGGAGTAAGCAGCTACTTTTATGCCTTCTCGAAGGCGTGGAAATCAATTGGCAAAAAATATATCCTACCTAACGACACGTTAGGTAGGGTATATTTTTTGCCAATTGATTTCCGTGTTGCAAAAGTCGAATTTCCTTCAGACAGTTGCTGAAGCCTTTTTCTGCTAAACTTATTTAAATCGATCGGCCAGATTCATTTGCTGAACTATAGTCATCACGCTGAACGCAAACTTGGCCACCTGCAAATCGCAATGATTTCAATAATTAAGTATTTAATAAAAAAAATGTAATATTTACGTACCTTAATATTGCTGTTCAGTGAGATGCTAAAAATGCCGCCAGCAGTAAAGATAATCGGCTGTTGCACGTTGTGCATGAAAAACTTCAGCGTGGACTTATATTTGGGCTCTGCATCGATCCAATGCGATTCACCCAGCAGATTTGACAATTCGTGGCAATCATTGACAAGCTGATCGCACAGATAGCAAAAGGGAAAGGTCTCAAACAGCAGGGCCGCGACAAATAAGATCGAGGAAATCGCACGAAATAACCCAGAGAAATATAAGACATTTATCATAGTCACACCCAGTACGACGCCGACCAGTAGAAACTGTATGAAAATGGTTTTAGACATAACTGGACGCATTAAGTTGCAGCATCTAGCGGGATGGAAGATTTTATGGCGGTCGAAATAATATAAATATCACATGCACTTACTGAAGTATTAGCTTGTGATAAATAATGTTGCAGACCAGTTCATCATAGTTCTCGGCCTCTGATTGCAGTGGGTCGGTGCGCAGATTACGAATGTGATCCTTCAGCACATCGATATGGGCTCGAAAGTTAATTACAAACACAACAGTGTATGTGTCTACGATGATCACCAATATGGTCATCGATAGCATCAGAATATACTCGAGAATCGCGTGCAGCCACAAGCTGGCCACGCCTTTGCGCCAATCGAAGAACGGATTGTAGATCATCCAGGGCGGCAGGCCATTTGCCAGGCCGACCACAAACACAGACACCGTATAGCTGATATAAAGCACTGCATAAACCATAAATAGATAATTGGAACTAGCCACTGCCTTGTGGATCTTCATGCGATCGCTGTCGCTCTGCAGTCGCTCATCCAGGGCGTCCATTATCGATGTTATCTCTTGCAGACGACTTTTATAAACGTACACAATATAACTTTTAACGGTTGCTCCCGATACGTTGAAAGTCATTTGAAGTACACTCAGAAATACGCTGGGAGTAAAATTCTCCAAGTTAAAAAATAAACTTAGGCCGAGGCCAAAGGGTAGATAAAGCGATTGAAATAGAAAAACCATAGACATCCAAGCCAAGTACAGATATCGTCTAATACCATCTTTGGGTGGTATCCAACCCATTAACTTCATAGCTCGATACAAGTAGGTGCAACTCTCTCGGGAACGTATCCGAGCGCTCAAAGGAGCTGTATAAGCTAGTCTGAATATCCCGGTCATTGCAAGTGATACTGTGGGCAGAAATAAACTTGGGCAGCTTTTATAGCTGCTTTTTAGCCCTGGGATTAAGCCAGCTGCCTTATGCGCGCTAGCAAAGGTGTCCATCACAAGCCCGGTCCGGTGGCACGCGACACTTGGCCTGTAATTAGGAAAGTTTTAGACGTCAATCATTTTCGCGCCCGTGCGTGAAACTTTCAAAAACTAATGTAGAATACATATAGTATATTCATAATCTGCGCGTAGGGTTTAATTTGCAGTTTTAAAAGATGAACAAACAAAATATTTTCGGAAATAAGAGCCCCGAGTTTAAGATCTCTGCTTTAAATCGGTACAATCGAGTGGGCGTGCTCTACTGTCCCGTTAAGAGTTACTCTGTACCCACTTGAAGCTCTCAGTTTACCGGGTCCTCGTTGTCGGGCACTGATCTCTCCGCAGACCGTCGGCATTTGATGTCACAGGGACTCGCTTGCTGTACTCATGTTTAATGAAAAAGATTAAATTAGCTGATTATGAAAGATTGAAAGACATATACAAAGCAAATTTCCATCACACATCTATTCATTTGTTTTTATTAAGAACATTGGAAAGTGCTGCTGACTTTGAACCAGCTAACTTACTCTTGCAGGTCCGAGCACTTTTACAAGTTTGACCACTGTTTCCTCCAATTTGGTGGTAAATTTTTCTTTTCTTTGGACTCAGCTTCCCCGCTCCTTCGTTTTGGGCTGAACAACAAAAGTTTTATATATAACAATGAAATGTATTTCATTTTATTTTTTGTGCTGCATTAATAATTCAATCTTAGTTGTGCTTTATAGACTTTCAGATACATAGATAGCTTGTCCGTAAATGGATTACTATTGTACTCATATATTTATACTTATTTAAGCCGCGCTGTCAGATCCATTTTGTTGCACAATGGTCATAACGCTGAATGCGAACTTGGCGACCTGGAAGATCCAATTCATCATATGGAATTCAACTGGTGCATTTGTAAATAATGCTACAGACCTTAATATTGCTGTTCAATGTAATGGGAAAGACGCCCCCAGCAACAAATATGATTGGCTTCTGAACGTGTTGCATACAAATTTTCAAAGTGGACTTGTATTTCTTCCCAGCATCAATCCAGTTCGATTGAGCCAATAGATTGGCCAACTCTGCACAATCATCGACGAGAGCATCGCAAAGATAACAAAAGGGAAATGTTTCAAACAGGACATTACCAAAAAATATAGCCGAGGATAAGCCTCGGAGTAGTCCGGAGAAATATAGAATGTATAGCAAAGTTAATCCCAGCACAATGCCGGTTAGTAGAAACTGTATAAATATTGTGAACGACATGACGGGACGCATTAATTCACAGCATTTTAAAGTAGGAAGTAAATCAAAAATATGTAGTTCGAATCGGCAACAGGTTTGTGGTTCTTTTTACGGTCGCTGTCGCTGTGCAGTCGCTCGTCCAAGGTATCAAGAACCGATCTCGTCTCGTGAAGACGCGTTAGGTAAAAGAACATACAAATATTATTCAGTGAGGATCCGAATATGTTTGAGCATATTTGAAGCACACCCAGGAATTCGCCGGGAGTAAAGTTCTTCGAGTCTAGAATAAGATAAACACGATGTATGCCCAACACTGGTACAGATATCGCCTCCAGCCCTGTTTGGGAGGAATCCAACCAACGAACGTCAACCCTCCCTGGAACATATCGGAGCGGCCAAAGGAGCTGAAGAAGTAAGTCTGAATATTCCAGGCATTGCAATTGAGAATGTGCGCGAAAACGGAACGTGGCCAGATTTTATAGTATTTAAGGATACCCTTGGCATGAGACCAGCTGGTTAGTTCGCGCGACTGAAGGTTTCCTTCACAAGCCGGGACTTGGAACTTGGCCTGTAATTAGGGACATTGAAGTGTCAATCATTTGCGACTTCTCAAGGACAACCTTCTGTGAAAGACATTTAGAAATGGAGATAGGATAAGAAAGTCAAGTATGCTGAAATTCCTACAAATCTGCCTTTTGGACAAAAGTCGGCAGAAAGATGAAGTTTTAGAAAATTCGAGCTGCAAGCATGAAACGCTCGCATATATATGTGATATGCCATCGAAATGTGCAAAGTTTGCGTGACTTAGTCATCTGAGCGTCGAACTGCCAAGAGAGAGAATCTTGCAGCAATTAGATTATGAGATTAAAAACAAAAAAACGAGGCTATTGCAAATTACTTTGATTGATTTGTCAATTACAAGGCTAGCTGTGTGACAGACGCCCCTACGAAGTTTGGGGTACAAACCTCACCCAGTAAAGTCCAAAGAATAATAATGTTTTCTGTTCATTTAATACAGATGAGTATAATTAATTAATTAATTAATGATAATTACTTTCGAAGCTGTTTCACATGCAGAGAATTATTTAAATAATTTCAGTATGTTTGGATATTTTGTTCTGGTACAATAAATAATGTTCCTTAAAATATATATCTTTAGATATCTTTAGACTCATAAATGATGTGTTCAAATCAAATTATTTAAATCGATCAGCCAGATTCATTTCTTGCACTATAGTCATTACGCTGAACGCAAACTTAGCCATCTGCAAATCGCAATTAATCATAAGATATTTAAATGATTCATACATTTATAAATAAATTTACGCACCTTAACATTGTTGCTCAATGAGATGGGAAAGATGCCCCCAGCAATGAACTTTATCGGCCTCTGCACGTGTTGCAAAAAAATCTTCAGCGTGGACTTGTATTCCTTCTCAGATTCGCCAAGTCTGTGCAATCATCAACGAGCGAATCGCAGAGGTAACAAAATGGAAATGTCTCAACCAGGACACTAGCAAAAAATATAGCCGAGGATAAGCCTCGGAATAGTCCAGAGAAGTATAGGATGTTAATCAACGTTAATCCCAGCACAAAGCCAATCAGCAGAAACTGTATAAAAATTGTGCACGACATAACTGGACGCAACAATTCGCAGCCTCTGCTTAAAAAGATAGAAGATATAAATGAGAGAGAAAATGGGATATACTTCTCAGACTTACTGAAGAATCGACTTGTGGATCGGTGCGCAGACTTTGAATGTGATTCTTAAGCACGTCGAGGTGAGCTCGAAAAATATTTAGAAACATGATGGGATATGTATCCATTATAAGTATCACAGACGCCATCAAGAAAATCTCCATGAACTCAAGGAAAGATTGCGACCACAAGCTGAACATTCCCTTGCGCCAATCGAAGAGTGGGTTGTACATTTGCCATGGTGGCTGGCTATTTGCCACTCCGGCAATAAAATCAGACACCGTATAGCCCAGGTATAGTTTGCCATAAACCAAGAAAATGTAGTTCGAATCGGCAACAGCTTTGTGTATCCTTTGACGATCGCTCTCGCTGCGCAGTCGCTCGTCAAGGGTATCAAGAATCGATATCGTCTCGTGAAGGCGCGCTAGGAAAAATAACAAAACGATACTTTTCAGCGAGGCTCCGAATAGGTTTGAACAATTTTGAAGTACGCTAAGGAACTCTCCAGGCGTAAAGCTCTTTGAGTCAATTATCAGGCTGAGCATTAGGCCGATTGGTATATAAATTGTTGAGTAAGCAAAGACGAAGCACGCCCAACATAGGTACAGATGTCGCCTCAAGCCCTGCTCAGGTGGAGTCCAGCCAACGAACATCATAACACGATACATGTAGGCACAACTCTGCCTGGAACGTATCCGAACTGAAAGCGGAGCGATATATGTTAGTCTGAATATTCCGGTCATTGCAAGTGCAACTGCGGGCAGATAGCTATAAACTGAGCCTTTATACTAAATTCATAAATACCGATTAGTGAATAAATGTGGGATAAGGCCAGCTGTCTATTTGCCGCGACTGGATGTGTTCGTCATGCACTTTGATTGACCTTTAATTGCCGCAGGAGTATAGCAAAATGACTAATGATAATTAAATTGCAAAAATTTTCAATTTATTATATGGCAAAACTATTTAATATAGTCCGATTGCAGAGACGAAACGAAAATCCAGTTGCAAATTCCATTTGGTGTGTCTGGAAGTAATGCCATAGCCGAAAGTTATATATACATATATATAACAAGTATTTTGCGTGTGTGCACATGTGTGCATGCATTTTTTTTTTCTAATACCAATCGCAGACCAATCTTATTATTCGCTGTGCTCCAAATTTAAATAGCACGAATTTCTACCAAGTGCTCTACTACTCGAATCTCAAGAATTCAAGTGGGCTCTGCAGTTTTTCATGCTTAGCTAGTGGTGGACTGCTTTTTTGTTTTATTCTTTTTTTTGGTTTTTATTTTTGGTTTATGTTTTTGTATATTTTGTTTTTGAGTTTGAGGCGATCGGATAGTAAGCTTAAAAGTTTCATAAAAACGTTTTTCCAGATTTTTCCACCCACGCGGGTGGAAAGTTTTAACGTGCACTTACATCACATAAAATCATCACAGTGAAAATTGCAGCTTCCTAGCTTTTAAGGTTTGGACTGCGCTTTGATCATCGTCAGTGAGTCAGTCAGTCAGGACAAACGGTTTTATATATAGAGATAAAATATATCTATATCAAATAATATTTTAATAAATGATAAAACAATATAAAATATTTTAATACATAGTCGCAATAAATGCTTTAGACTAAATACTCTTAAGTAGTTGTGATAAGAATGTTTTATTCTTAACAAAACTTAAAATTTAATTAATAATTAATAAAAAAAAATTAAAAAGTGATTAGCCAAGGATGCATTTCTATATTACATTTCTATATTATACTTTTTGATTAGCCTGCTCGTAAAATCATTTTCAGAATATTTTCTTGTCCTCAACAATTAAAAATAGCAAATAGAAACCGGTCTTCAGATGTATTTACTTTATATCAAGTAATGTTTAAGGCGCGATTTGAAGCCTTAGTTGGATGGCAGTAATAAAATAAAAGGGAATTGATCCATATATAATATTCTGCTACATTACACTAGTTATTAAAATCTAATTTTGATTACGCTTTTTATCGTTTGCTTAAAAACGAGGCAATTCATCGATTATCGGAAACAAAATCGTACTGCGCGGGCATTAGGACGACCTATTTTGAAATTCAAGCTCTTATAGGTTCTGAGATCTATGATTTCATACATACGGACGGACAGATAGACGGACGGATCGACGAACGGACGGACAGACAGATGGACATCGCTAGATTGAATCGGCTATTGATGCTGATCAGGAATATATATACTTTATGGGGTCGGAATACTTCCTTATGCCTGTTACCCATTTTTAATGCGTTCAGGGTGTAATAACACAAAATAATATATTTCCGTGTTCTTTCTTCATTAAATGCCCACGCAACAAATTGGCAGCACTCGTTCGTGTACAAGTGCTGCCAATTGGTGCAAAAAGTGTTAAGCTAAAAGCTATTTAAATTGCTTCACCTGACAGCTGTTGCAATTTAATAAAGATTGACAGCTCTTCAATGAACTCTTTTGGGGCAGGGCACGCGGAGCTTAGTTTCTGGTTGCATTTGCTTGAGTTCTTCGTTGCCGCACTTTGATATCGCTTGATGAATTTGAAGTAATTTAGTTGCATGTTGCTGCCAGATTGGCCGCAGAAGCGGCTGATCAAATTGGCTGCTAGCTGAACGACAAAATAGAGTTGCCAGATTATTATAATTTGCACAAGGCTTACACGCAACTTAAAAGACTGGGCGTGGTCGCCGCACATGGTACTGTAGTATTAAGCGGCCGTAGTTGATAAACACTTAACTGAAGTGTATATATATAAATAGATATATAGACACATACATTACTTGTATCTAATGTAGCTTAGCTGTAAGTAGCTCAAATAATTGCAAAGTTGCGTGCAAATTAGTTGACAATAAAATATACACTAATTAAACTAATCCATAGAGCTGACATGCATATTAACTAACATAAATAAACTAAATATTATATAAAAAACAAATAAAACCAAAAGCATCAACTAAACATTTTAGCGTGACTGTACAAAGATATGCATTGAACACATTAGCTGATTAATCAATATTATTTCTATAATTTTTAAAAATTTATTTCTTGGACAAATTTATTATTGTATATAACTAATATATATTTAACTCTTTTTTTAGGTAAGTCCCTTCGAGAGAAGCATCAACCACATAAAACTGATCCGATTAAGTATTTGAGTATTTTCCCAAAATCAACGTGAGACCAGGTAATTTATCAATTTATTAAGCAAGCACCAATTTGGGCCAGTCCGTTTATTCATTTTAGGTTTCAGGTACTTATTTGATCCTCATGATTTAAATAAGTACAGATTGTGCGCGAATATGGCAACGCTGCATTAAATAAATATAAATATCTATTATGTAAGCAGCAGAGCGCGTTTATCATTACTGTTTTAATTTGGAAATAAAATTCCTTTCGACCTTGACATGATGCCAGGCAGTTTCTCTGGCTGTTAAAAATTGGCCTGAGCTTGCGGTGTTGCCACTTGGCAATCTATTGCAGATATGGCAGCACCGAATGTGTAAAATGCAATACATGGTAAAAGCAGTACTCTTGTAAAATGTTAAACTGCCAGATGAAATGCCTGATATTTTATTTTCGCGTGAACCCCGATGCAAAGTCGTGTAACATACGAACTTCCAAAACGAATACAAACTAAGACTAGACTAAGACTCTCTTCTTGCTAAATGATGACTTTATACGGGGATCAGAAGACTACAAGCTGAATACTGTGTAATGCTTTTTGTATTCATCAGAGGTCCCGGAACATCAAGGCATAGTTAGTTGAGCAAAATGTAAGCGATAAAGGTCTATATTTACGTGTTAGTCTAGCAGGGACAGAGGAGCTTTAAATACACCTTGTAGTAGTTGACAGCATGTTAAATCATTTCAATGCCTTTTAGCATTGACAGGGAAATGAGAAGATTGAATCTAGAACTGTTTGATGTATAGCAGAAAGAAAAACTCAAATTAAAAATCTTGTGCCGATTTTCATAAAAATATAATTAAAATGTATATTATATATTTTAATATTCGATATAAAGAGAAAATAAAATTAAAAAATCGATATCAACTTATAACAACTAGCAGCAATATAGCTAGATTAAATCATTTCAATCTTTTACTGAACTACATAGCATGAACAACGCACTTTCAAAAATTGTTTGCGAGATTTTTCTGGCTGCATTTTAAACATTCCGCTTTGACGCTTTCCCAGCGCCCAAATACTGACCACAGCAATGAAAGGCTAAAAACAGCGGCAACAAAAAACAAGTGGTAAATAAAGCCACAAAAAATGCCACAAGGGTAAAAAGCAGCACGCCTGAAGGGCAAAAAAAAAGAACAAACAAATAAACAGCAGAACGTTTAACCAAGTGGGTGGGGTGCGGGGTGGCGGGACGGCTGGTGCGGTGGCAACCACTTGCCGGCAGAAAAAGTAAAAGCGCAAAATTGTCATAAAAACGCATAATAAACTGGACGCCTCTCTTTGGCCACGCCCCGTGGCGTAATAATTGCCGGCCAAATAATAGCTACAATTTGGAATGTCATAAACTTTAATGTGCACACAGATAAATTTTCGTTTAAGCAAAATGATGTGAAGTGTCTTTGGGGCCAGATTCAGGTTGCAAGCGCTGCAACGTTGCGTATACGCAATATTTTAATGCTTTTGCATCTGCCTGGTAAATTGCGCTTAACTGGCTGCAATACTTTAACGACTGCAAGTGGTCCGCGTGGGCAGACATTCGGCTAATAAAGCCATAAAGCAATCAGCTACAAATTAATTAAACAAATAAACAAGACAACTTGCGGGCGAAGAGAGAGAACACAGCAGGGAGGCAGGGTAAGCTGCGCATAAATAACTCAATAACTCACAAAAGCTATGCAAAGCTGGGGAGTTGCATGATGTCAGCGTCCAAAAAAAAAACTACAGCAGCCCCCAAAAAGCTAAGCCAACAGCCAC